ATAATAATAATAATAATAATAATAATAATAATAATAATAATAATAATGCTTCCATGCCACCCTTCACCTCTTCTCTTTGCTTCCGCCCATTTCCTTCCTTTTTCCTGGAGAAGTTTTTTTTTTTTACAACTTTGCAGCACCGAGGCTAACCCGTCAATGAACTGATTGCTAAGAACTCAACCGAAATACTATTTTGGGTGCACGCACTTTTCTCTCCCACTTTTCTCTTCCCTTTTGCAAGACAATGGCTATGCCCAGTGGCACAGCTTTTGAGTGCCATGCACATTCAAAGGAAAGGAAAATCTTTAGCAGCCTTTCTTTCTTTCTTTTTATTTTTCTTTCTTTCTTTCTTTTTCTTTCAAAAAGGATAGATATATTGCTTTTCTCCCCCACCGTCCTTACAATTCCTTCCCACCCACCCCCCATCTGCTGTTCAACAACTCTTTTCTTTCCATTTGCATCCAGTGCTCTCCAAAAGAAGGCGAAGTGTTTGGAAGGCTACTACTACTACTACAAAAAAAAATCTCTTCCGGATGGAAAGAAAGTTAAAACAAGGCCCAGAGCATTCTTGCTACTTACTTTCAGCCCCAAAGAGGGGAAAGTAAGTACATGGAAATAAAAGGGAAAGGGAAGCAGAAAGCTAGGGAAGCTTTCTGAAATTCGCTCGCACCTCTGGTCGGCAGCTCTTGGTCTTCAAGTTGTAGCAAGGAATCTACTCGGAAGTAAAAAATAAAATAAAATAAAAGACCAGGCCGCAAAGCCTGAACTGATAAGCGATTTTTCTCCCCGTTCTCATTTTAGGAGACGGAGGCGCTTCTTTCAATTCCCCACATCCAAAGCTACGACCCCCTCCCTTTCCGATGCAACTACTTCCGCACCAGTGACCAGGGGACTGGGGCTTTACTCATGGTTTATTATTTTCCTCCCCTACTCCGCAATTCACACAAGACAGGGGGTCGGGTCGCTGAAACGACTCCCTTGCTTTGAACTCAGCAAGGCCACCAAGAGCTCTCTGAAGATTTTTCTTTACGCAGCAAAATAAGCCCAAGATTCCGAAAAAGCCTTTAACCCAGGCTAAACGCTAACCCAGCTTTTAAGCCTGTGCCAAGGTCGCTGCGGCAGCAGATCCTACTGAGGTTGTAGTAGATTTCCTGCGCTTTTGTCTTCCCGCTTTTGCTAGATCTGGTTTTTTTCGGCTGCCTTGAAATCAACTCTTTTCACGAATTGCCTTTTGCTTCGCCGCCTCTTGGTTTGCAAGCCATCAGGCCAACCTAACCTGGATTTCAAAATAGCTTCCCACTTCCACTCCCACTCCCCCCTTAACTAGAAATCTGAGGAACTTTCTCGCTAATAAATTAATAATAATAATAATAATAATAATAATAATAATAATAATAATAATAATAATAATAATAATCCTCCGCTCGTGCCTTTCTTCATGCGTCGCTCTTTGGGACGAAAAACCAAGAGCATCCGTGCCACGCGCTTTCCTGAAGCCAAGAATTGGATGGGGTTGAGACACCCCCCCCTTCCCTCCCCCGCCAGCCCAATTCCTTCCAGACCCCCGTTTTCCTAAACGGAGGCAGGAGCTCATTCGCCTCGCGCACACAACACGAGAGGACACCTTCCCTTCCGCGCCTCAGTGGGCATAAATCCCGGGAATCCAAAACGCTTTCCTTTCCCCCTCCAACAGAAGCTGACTTCTGCTTTTGTTTTTGAAGTTTAAATTGCCAGTTCTGCTTAATAACCTGGCAGCTGCAATAAAAGTATCGGCTGCTAATTAAAGCGGAGCATAATCAACCTTCAATGGCTTGTTTTTTTTGTCTTTCTTTTACTTTCATCCGCCCAGTAATTAAGAGCATTTATATAACAGACTCCGAAAGGTTATTTCAAAAGAAAACCTTTTTTTTGTTTAATACATCAAATATACAGAATATTAATCTTTGAAAGCGATACATTGTCTTATTATTTTAAATACATGACGTCACCCTTGTTCCTGTGCCCTAGCTAGAGGGTGGACTTAAAAATTAAAAAATAGTCAAGTGTGTTCTTTTTTTAAAGAATAAAAATAAGGCAAACGGAGGTTTTTGGAAAAGAGTAGGTTGGTGGTTGGGTTTTCTTTCTGTCAGGATACATACAAAAAAAAAAAAACAATTCTCTTTCTTTCTTGCCACGGGATATACATCTTTGAAAAATCGCTGCAATTTGAAAAACAAAACAAAAAACTGGAATAGACAAATTGCAAGTGAAGACGCGTTCTTGGAAAGAGAGACATGCATTGAGGGGGGGGTGTTTGCCCCACCCACCCACCGTTAAATAAGAACGTACAATAGAATACAATCATAGCAAATTTAAAGTAACATTAAAGAGAAGACCTCTAGTTCTCGTTTTCTTTTTATTGATTTATATTCTACAAGGGGTGTTTCCACTTCGTTTTGTTTTTGTTTTGTTTTTCCTTGAAAGCCTATCCAGAGCTGAAATTAAGGTAATGCACTTTTTTTGTTTTTCAAATGGATTCGTCGTCCCGCTTGAAGCTAACATAAATAAATACAGTGCCCATGGATCCAGTCCTCAAGATGAACACTATTCTTTATATATATATATATATATTTATTAAAAAAGGTCCAATTTTGCAACGTGTCTGGTCATCCATCCTTTAAAAGAAACTTTCCAAGGGACGCCGGGCCGTCTTTCCTTCCCCTTTCCCAAAAAGCGTGGTTTTCAAATCCACCCCACCGACGCCACCCTACCCTCAAAGGAACACACCCGCCCCACCCAAAAAACCCCAATCTCAGGCGGCGACAACCCCCTCCCCCCCCGGGGAAAAAAAACTCACTGGTATCCCAGCGCCGAGGCTGTCGTCAGTCTTTGCCCATAGAGTGCGTAAGGGGAGTAATAGGGTCCGGTGGCGGCCGGGACTGGGACGGGGGCGCCGGGGGTGGGCAAGGGGCTCTTGGAGTAAGGGTGGTACCGGCTGCTGAGTCCCAAGGCGTGGTGCGGGCTGCGCAAAGCCAGCGTGCCGGGGCTGCCCGGGCCGCCGGCCGCCGAGCTGGGGACGTGCATATGGCAAGCCATGGCTGCAGCCGCGGCGGCGGCCAGCGAGCTGGAACTCGGGTAGCCGGAGAGGAGTTTCTCGGCCGGGCCGGGGAAGGCCGTGTGAGTCCGCAGGTGGCTGAGCAGCTCCTCCGAGGTGGCGAAGCGTTTGTCGCACGGCCCGTTGGCCGAGACCCAGTTGCAGCTGTGCGGCTGGGGGTCGTTGGGCAGCAGGAAGCCGTACGGGTAGAGAGGGTGGCCGGCCAACGACGGCGGCCCGGCGTGAAGCGGCGGCCCCGGGTAAACCAGCGGGTAGGCGCCGGCCTTGAGGGCTTGCTCGTGGGCGCAGGAGGTGCCGGCGGCCAGGTGGCTGGCGCAATGGTAGCTCAGGCAGTAAGGGTCGCGGCACAGGCTGGCCGTCATCACCGACGGCGGCGAGGCGCCGGCCAGAGGGCTGGAGCCGGCCGTTTTGCCGCCGCCCCCGCCGCCGCCCCCTCCCAAGCTGCCGGCCTTGCTGTGGTCGAGCGTCACGCCCGGCGGCAGGAACTGCGGAGGGTAACCGGCGTACGCCCCGGCCAGGGAGCCCGGGTAGCTCATGCCGGCCGGCGGCAGCGGGAAGACAGTCTGGCCCGGCTTGTAAGGGGAGACGGGCGCCACCAAGCCGGCGGAGCTCAGCACGGCGGCGGCCACCGACGACGGGACGGCGCTGCAGGACGACTCCGCCGTCGAGCAGGAGGCGGCCGAAGCGACGCCCGCCAGCAGCCCCTTGGCGCCCTCGTGGCTTTGGCTCAGCTCGCCCGACAGGCCGCCGCTGGAAGTCAGCCGCCCGGAGCCGTCGGAAGCGCCTTTGCCGCAGTTCTCCGCCGTCTCCTTCTTCTCCGCCTCGCCGCCGCCACCGCTGCTCCCGCCGCCGCCGCCCTTGCTCTCCCCGCCGGGAAGCAGGCCGGGCGAGCAGGCCGAGGCGCTGGAGCTGGGGCTGCCTGTCCTTGGCGTGAACGGCGGGCAGGTGGCGCTCGGCACCCGGAATCCCGATTTCTCGCCGCCACCACCGCCGCCGCCGCCCGAGCTCCCTCCAGACGTGGCTCCGGAGCCTCCGCCGGCCGACGAGTCCTTCTTATCCGCTCCGGGCTTGGAGTAAGGCTTGAAGCTGGACTTGTCCTCGGCGCCGATGTCGCTGAGCTTCAAGGGCCCCCCCTTGGACGCCTCCTTGTCGCCGCCGCCGCCGCCGCTGCTGGACGTGACGCTGGAGAGCTTGGAGGAAGGCGAGGGATCCGGCTTGCCGATCTGGGAGCAGGTCTGCGCGAGGAGAGCCAGCGGGCTCTTCTTGGCGTCCAGCTGCAGAAGGCCGGGGGAGAGAAGAGAGGGGAACCCTGAGTACGGCACCGGGAGACTGCCCGACGGGGCCCCGCCGAAGCGGCTTGCTGCCCTCCTCCCTCCCCTCGACGCCTTTGCAAGCCAGCCTCTCGCCCCGGCATCCCGCCCTGCAAGACAAACCCAGGCCGGCGCCCTGAGCTGCCCCCCCTCCCCCACCGTACCCCGGTCGTCTACTCCGGCCTCCTCGCTGGGATGCCCCGAGCCCTGCCGCCTCGCGCGGCCCTTGGTCCCCCGTCGCTGCGCATCTAGAGAGCCGGCCCCGAGATCCGCTCCGTTTTAGCTCGCTTACCCCCCAAGACCCTCGCTGTGCCCGAAGAGGACCCGCACAAAACACAGTCCACCAAAGAGGCCAGGGCGCTTTCTCTTCCCAAACCCCACTCGAACCCGGGTCAAGGGGCGGCTCGGTTTCAGGTTACCGTCCCTTGGATGGCAATCTACTTCCATAACCAAGAAGCTGGGGGGGGGGGGGGGGGGGGGGTGGGGGGGGGCGCAGGGGGGGCAGGATTGCGCCTGCCGATGAAGTGGCAAATTCCGCCAGAACAACCGGCCGCTCCGTTTAAGAGCAGAGAATGCAAAAAAGGGGAGGAGGGCGGAAAGCCGGGGTGCGTCTCCCTCCAACCCAGGTTGGGGGGGTCCCTCCAAGAGCTTTTTTTAGGGTACCCAGCCAACCTGTCCCCCCCAAATTACCCCAGGCTGGACGATGGTGTGTGTGTGTGTAAGTAAGAGGAAGGAGAAGAGTTGATGACACGAAGCAAGCCCCCTACAAAGGATTCCAACCCCCACCTCCCCCCCCCCAAAAAAAACAACCCCACCACCAAAGGACCGGGAGGGGTGGAAGCGGGGAAGGTTTGCCCGCCGCCTCTTACCTCGATCGGGCTGACCGGCGTGGAAGGCAACGGCTGGAGATATTCGGGATGCAAAATGTGGCCCGTCCGTGCCGTGAGCATTTTCAAGACTTTGATGGGGAGGCGGTTGGCTTGGCGCAAAGGGTCCGAAGGAGGGATGGCGTGGAAGAAAGCTTGGCTGCCGCCGCAGCCGATAAGGTTCCCAGCGAGCCCGCTTTGCCAAGGGAGCTCAGCACCACCACCGCAGCCGCCGCCGTTTCCCAGCTCTGGCGCGCCGCCTCCTCCTCCTCCTCCTCCTCCGCCCGGACTACTACTTACGGCAGAAAGCGCGGGCGCTGTAATCATGACCCAAAGGCTGGCATGGAAAAAAAAAAACGCGCCGGGGGGGGGGGGGGGGGCGGCGGGAACGCGCTGCTCGAGAAGCAAAGCTGGGCGTCTGCAGCTTCCAATGGCGACTTCGGGGACGGTGGTGGGTGGGTGGAAGATTCCGCCCCCTTTGGAAAAACCGGGAACGGCGGAAGAAACAGCAAGCGGCAGATTCCTCTGAAGGTTTCTCTCTTTCTTCCTTCCCCTCCCCCTCCCTCAGTCTTTTCTTCCTTCCTTTCTTTTTTTCTCAGTCTTGGCTTTTCTTTCTTTCTTTTCTTGCAAATTCAGGTTTCAAGCGCTGGCGACCCCAAGGAGAAATAAATCCGTGCTTTTTTGGGTGGGTGGGTGGGTGGAGGGTTGTGTTCCTCCCCTCCCCGAGGGGTGGAAGGGAATGTGGGGGGTGATGAGGAAGAGTCCGGGGTTGTCTCCTCCGCCGTTCACCCTCTCCCCTCGGCCCGGCCCGACTCTCCTTCCCTTCCTGTTCCTTTGGTCTC